CTAGGTGTTGTGAGCTTTAACAATCCAGCCAACTTGAGTGACTCTCTCAAACGCTGTTTAGACCACCTTTCCTATTACTATCCACAAATTTCATTTTGCCCAGGGTCATTTAATTATTTAACCAATTTTTTGTCTGGACAGGGGGCTTCGATTCAAGGTGGTTCTCATGTTTGCATAGTGGAAGGGCAATTCTCTTCGGTCGTCTCCCAGGCACAATGGAAGCAGGCCCATGCCGGGCATTTTGGAGTGAGGAAAACATATCTTCGTTTTTTGCCAAATGGGCTTGCGTCCAATGTGGAAATGGATGACAGATAGGGTGCGGTCCTGTAAGGAGTGTTAGTTGTTTCACTAACTGCAACTGTCCAACCCGTTTGGCAGCTGGCAAGTACCAGAGAGACCGGGCCAAGTTATTGGCGTGGATTTCATGGGACCTTTTCCTAAGAGGAAAGTGGGAAAAAAGATATTTGCTCTTGTTGTTGTGGATATGTTGACTAGACAGATAGGGGCATGGGCGACAATTGGGGCAGGGGAAGCGGATATTGTGGGTGGACTAAAGAAATGGGCGGCAATGCAAGGGACACCTTCAATTTTGTGTTCAGATGTCTACCAGGCTATACAGTCCAAGGAGTTGAAGAAGTGGTGTGTGTAGGAGGGAGTGACACAAGAGCATTCCCTTCCCTATCATCACGCCTTTATTGGATTTGTGGAGCGGTTTTTTAACTAGACCCTGTTGAACCGTTTGCGGCGCATGTGGGCAGAGGAGCCAAGGTATTTTGCCAAGGCAGTTGAGCGGGTAGTGGATATCTACAACCATATGCCTCTCTCTTCTTCAGAGGAGAGCAAGGAAACTGCTAGTTTGTTTGTATTTGGAATGCCGGAATAATTGCGGAATCGCTCGCAACTTGTGTGGGGTCGGTTGCAAGAATATGCACATCGACAGTGAGCATAGGCAAACTATAGGATGAGAGGACGGCGCATCCAACGGATGTTCAAGGTAGGGGACCGAGTGTGGTTGTAGAACACAAAAGTTGAGACCTTGAAGGACAAGCTTGAGCCATGGTGGAAGGGCCAGAACAGTTAATTCGACCTATTACAACTTTAGTGTGGGAAGTTAGGGGACCAGAGAGAAAACTCTGGGTTAGACATACAGATATGATTCGGCCGTACCGTGATGTTATTTAAAAGGATGATGTTTTAATTATGTTCTCTTTAGCACACGGAAACGTGTGAGGATGGGAAAGGTATATATGTGATTGTGTGGAGGGTGAAGTCCTTATGGTGAATTAAGTATGGTGTGCAATATGGCAAAATGGGGAACGATGGGGAGACATGTTTTTGGACACGCTTGCAGTACATGAATGAAATAATCACTCTGTAACATCATCTGGTTGCGGCTTGCTTCCCATGCCTGGCAGCGACCGTGTGTGAGCGCGAGTGGAAACGCGAGCAATGTGTCAGACACCATCAAAAATTGGCCAATACTTTGGCACTATAGTTAGCGTAGGCCACCCAAACCTAAATGCAATTTGCACATTGTTAGTATTCATCCATGAATTTAGAAAACAAATATTTGTTAAGGGTAAATTTACACTGGATCTATTATAGCATATTCGTGCATTTTCCATTCAAACTTTGAAGTTTATGCGTGAAAGTAAACAAGGCGTCATAATGTCCAATGGCTCAACATCAGTGGCTAGCGATATTCTATTAACTTTCTTGTCTACTTGGTATAGTAATTCGCTGCACCATATGTGCAATTTATCGAATTTCCACGAATTATATAAATAGAATTCTGTTGCAAGAATCCTGCAAATCATCCATCACAGCCAAGTGAATTTTAAGGGCAGCAGTTTTACAACGGAACTCTGGCACACATTTTAGGTCCAAAGAACAAGCGCAAAAGTGTGGAACAAATTAGCTATCTAGGGTGCCAATATAAACGCTCTCTGTATCTTTGGAATTTTGAGACCCAAGAATGAACATGAATTAGACATTGCATTGAGTCCCCAAATCACAACATAAATGTATGCCATGGTGCGAATGTGTTTGCATTAATGACACATCTCTCCCTGCACAACTTCTTCACTTCTCCCTTGTATACCATACTCAGACGCTGCACCTCATTTAAAATATGTTGCATGCAAGCAGAGAGCTTCTGCTTATGAGCACGCCCCGACGACCACTACCACACTATGGTGTCACCATAAACTCAACCAGCTCATCATGAAGCATGATTCTGTTTTCGTCATAGAACCACCTTAAAGTTGATGCATATGTATATGCTCAACTTGTCAAGAGACGAGGAGTTCCCAGTGTGTCAAAGAGTCACCACAAAATTCCATCAGAAGATCGAACACAAAAACCTCCAAAACCAGTCGCCGACTTATAGTTAGCTGTAAAGTTCAACTGTCAGACCAGCTGGCATGTACAACCATACAATGTCTACGAAAAATTTGTCAAAAAGGTTAGATCTACAATCATTAATCAGGTATTTAGTCACACCACTCTCAAAGCTTGAGTCTCTGGTCCGACATTCCAAGGAAAATGCACCAAACCTCAAGTTCGCTAGATCTACACTCCAGAAAAGAAAAGACAAGGAAAGACTAAGCAAATGATTTAGATGCAAAAACCAACTAACCTTGCAACCTTGACAAATCGGCCCAGTTCCGGACTCGTGTTTACATGTGGTTGTCAAGCAAAAATGCAAACTCTGCCAAAGCATCACAGTGATACACGGCTTGACTTCTTTTTTTGTCAGCACTGTTAAAGATTGCCGCAAGAAGCCCTGTCATGCCATAATGGTGGACAACACTATCATGAGATGCCATTACAGTCTTTTTATATCCTTGTCCTAGATTACAGGCTAGCACTTGGTGCCAGAGCCTCGAATATGAAGCTCTCAAGATGCTAAGATTTTGCACTTGGCTTGAAGTCACGAATCGCAGGGCAAACTAAGAGGATAATCATTACTGACTTTTTGTTGTGGCGAAGGACAGCTGCAACGGGATAATATAAATGATTTGGCCAGCCTACGGGACACCTGTTAAATTGATCATCCATTTATGGATCCCATAAAGCAAGAATGTTGCCTTTGCACAATAAACTAAGTTATGACAGGGCTGAAGATATAGCATGAGAATTCGATGGGGACTCTGGGCAGCGCTATTGGTACTATGGCTTGACATGGGCATTGCGGGGTGCACCAGTAGGCGCCAGATGGCCTTGGAGCACTGCAGTTGATGAGAACGGTTTACAACACCATAGCTCCCCCACTCCACTAGCTAAGTTTTGTATAAAATTGCCCTCGAAAGACAAAATGGTGTCCTTGCGCCTTGTAGATGATGACCGGCATGCATGCAGCCAACAACGCTTTCATTGTACCTCATTTGGCTCTTGGGGGAGATCGGGAGAGTACACCACTCTTCATTTCCTCTCCCTCCAGCCCCCCACTTGAGATAAGACTCTCAAGGTATATGAGATTGGGAATGCTGCTCGCTGTCCTCTTTTCTGGGGCCAAATGGCATGATTCATTCTGCGTTGAATGCACAAACGATGAAATCTAGTAGTGTCGGGATATTTGGATAGTGGATTCTGGTATGTGTGTTTGGACATGGTTTCTATATTGTCGTTGTGTGAGCGACGAGCTGAAAAAGGTAGTTGCATGTCTAGAGTGTGCCCTGGTGGAAAGAGCTCATGGCAAGGCGTGAGCTGTGATCATTCAAGTTGTTGGCACTTCCAACCAGTAATTAGGATGGCAATGAGGCAAAACTGGGAGCCATTGCTACCACAGGTTTGTTGATGCGTTACCGAGCAATGTTGCAGCAATGCCCATGCACAAACATCTTGGCACAATGGCAACGATGACCGTCAGTTTGATGTCGTTGGCGATTACTGGAGTGTGAAAAAATTCATGGCCGTCGGCATGAACGGCATCAGCGGCATGAAGGCCGATGGAGCGTTGACGCGCGAGGCCCGACTCGAAGCAGCAACGACTGGCGGCGCATCAGCAATCTCCCTGCAGCAATGGCCATCAATGCCGCCTCAATACCATCCACATTTCCGCAACGCAGAGAGGAGGGCATCAGCCGCGGCATTCGAGGGCGCACGGCCCCGACGCCAATGGCGGGGCATCGACGATGAGCAGCCACACCCTTGACCTCCACACCTCTCAAGGTATTTTGATCAATAACACCTCCCACGAGCCAGGCACGCGCCCAAGCACACGGAAAACAATGCCCCACGGGCTCATCCAATGGGTGGGCTCCCTTGGCGGCAAACGCCCGAAAGCAGGCCCTGCCCCGCTGGCACCACAGGACGGGAAAATCTGCGCCAGGCGCCAGGGGACGTAACCCCCCCCACCACAAACCTACCCACAAAAACCCCCTTCCCCCACACCCCCCTTGCACCAACACAGCAGCCCCTCTGAAGGCGCCAGGCGCGCCACGGCCGCGCCGCTGCAGAAGCCACCCACAACGCGAGCCTGGATCGCCGTCCAGATTGCATCCATCGATCCGGGCTGGCCGCAGGGGGCCGTGGGCGCCGGCCTGGATGCCTGAGGCCGGCGTGAGCAAGTGGGTGGTGCTGCCCTGCCCGGAGGAGGGCGGGGCCAAGCCCGGCGGGGAGGCCAAGTCGGAGGTGCTGGAGATTGCGCGGGTGGTGTGCGAGTCGTCGCAGCTGGCAGGGCTCAACCGGTCGCTCGCGGCGGATGCCGGTGCATCGGTAATTCACCTATGGAGTGGGCTCCTGGACGGAAAGTGCAAGCCGGCATGGACAGCTGTTCGTGATCTATGGGGGGATGTGTGGACTCTGTTTGCAGCTGTGATCGGCGCTGATCTAGGAACGAGGACGGAGGGGGGAGTCGGAGCGTGCAAGGCTCGTTTGTGTGCGTGTGTGTGCGTGTGTGGGTGTGGTGCAACGGGCCCTGGATTGCATCCCGGTGGTTTTGCCGTGGCGTTGAGGTTGGATCTGCGCGCTGACGGTGGAAAGGGTGTCGGGTGCAGGCCGACGCGGGGCGCGGGGCGAGCCAGACAGAGCGCGACGGCGACAGGGCCTACGACAAGGGCACTGTGAGTGGCTCCCTGCGGGATGCATCCACTTTCGCGCGCCCATGCTTCGCTCGCATCCCCCCGTGCCGTGGGGGGGGGGACGACGCGGGGGCGGCGCGCCGCGCCTCCGCGCGGCCGCGCTGCGTGACCTGATATCGATTCCGCGGGCCGACCGCTGCTCACTCCGGTGTGGCGGGCGCGTGCAGTATGGGAACGCCATCAACGAGTACACGAAGGCCCTGAAGCGGGACAACTGCAAGGCGCTGGAAGGGCAGCTTCTGGCCAAGAGAAGCGCGGCGTTCGCAGCGTGAGTGGGGGCCGCCTGCTCGCTTGAAGAGCGCATTCGGAACTTGCGCGCCAACGCGTGCCCAAGGGCTCGACGCCTCGCGTTGTTGGCCACCCCCCAAGGTAGCCGAGCCAGAAGATCCGTCCTCACCTTCTTGGACGCTTGCCGCCCTGGCTGTCTTCGGATGATCGAAAAGAAGCTGCGCAAGCCCGCCTGCAACTGAGCGCCTCGCCCGCGATTTCTGTACGTGTCTGGCGATGGGATGATGCCCATCTGATCCCTTTGGCCTTCGGACGCAGGTTGTCGACCGAGCTGCGGTTCCGACCGGCCACGGCGTCCGCTCTCTATGGCATGGACCCCTACGACCTCGCGAGGCTCGCGCTGAAGGATGGGCAAAGGGTGGCTGAACTCTTTCCCAGGCACTCCGAGGGCCACCTCAGGAAGGTATTGCCATCGACCCCTCCCCTCTGCTGTCTGTGGCACTCGCCTCTACATGTGGCTATGCTTGGTTTGGTATGCACCGATATCATGAACACAACTGGGCATCCGGATCTTGTTGCTCAGGATTGTGCACAGTGATGCCTGATGAGGCCACATTCAACCCATGTTCGTTGTAATGGACCATCCATCCAACGCTCGTCATGACGTGCATCGCCACCATTTTGACACAAGCCCTTGCCAAGGAATGGGTGTATTGTGTGGAGATCTGTGTATGCTGATGGTTGTGCATCAGTGGGGTACTTGTAGCAATGGTTGTTATCGATGCAAGAACCCGTGATAGGCTATTGGTCGATCTATGCTGGTCGTTAGGATGATTAAAACCATCTGTCAGTGTGGTTGCCTGCAAACCCAACCACATTGGCATTGATGTTTTGGTTTGTTGCTGCCTTTTGCAGGCATTTGGTCATTATCTTCTTGAGAACTATGCCCAAGCAGAGGAGGCATGCCTGGAAGGCTTGAGATGGGATATTGATCGTGAAGCCCTGAGGGTATGTGTGAGCAGTTCAATTGGTCATTGTCGGCCCAAACCAGTGCACAACTGGACTCCTGGTGTGTGATGATGTAGATTTCCAACTGCACACAAGTCAGCCATGATAACAAAGGCTGCTGTAATTCTGGCAGAGAGTCCTATTGCAGCAGCTGCGCATTTGCTGCTGAGATTATGAGTTGTTTTGGTAGTTCTACAAATTTGTCAGGCAGTGCGCACAAGCGGAACTGGTGTTGTGTGGGTACATTTCGCAAAAAGTTCCATGCTGAGACTCAACTTTGGAAGTCGTTCATTGCCTTGTTGCTTTACCATTTGAACTGTTGGAGCTGACATTGGATATCTTGTTTCAAGGTACATCGATTGCCTTTCCTTTTTGCAAGACAGGGGCGTGTTGGCGAAAACCTACTTGTATTTTTCACTGCACTAGTAGTCGATGTTCGATGATTCGAGCTTGAGGTTAGCTCTGAATGTGGGCAGCGATGGTACCCTGGGCAGGAACATGGCTCTCCTGTGCCTCCCTGCTCTCTGAATGCACAGACTTGCCACTCGTTGCTTGCCCCCCAGCCCATGTGGAAAACCCTCCTGCTGAGTTCGGTTGTGCCTTGCCAAGAGAAGAGGCAAGCGTTTGCAACTGGCAAGGCCAAGCAAGTGTTCAGTGCAGCCATTTGCACCCTGTAATCCTCAGACTGCCCTGCACAACTTGTTAGCAACCTGGCAGCAGACTTCAGGAGGTCCATTGCCAATGCCAGCAACCTCCTTGATTGTGTGTAGAATCTTACTGAGACATGCTGGTTGTGATATCCTCCATCATTCCAGGAATGGTATCCTGCGTGATACAGTGTAAGCAGCCAGTTTGACAGATCGTGGGTATGGTGTCTGTCAATCGTTGTGTGTCATGATCACCCATCAAGTGTGCTACGTGTTGTGTCATATTGCTGCAGCGAACTTCTTTCTGTACAATTTTTATTGTGCATAACAAGCATGTGTGGAACACATGTGTTATAACCTTAAAAGGGACATGGTTGCATCTGAAGTCTCAACAGTCTCAAGCCATTATGCTCAAGATCACTGCAGAATGGAAGGAGTTGTTCAGCACATGTGTTGATGCTCTGACAGTATTATTGCTTGCAGAAATGCCTCAAATTGGTGAAGATTGCCACTGGGGATGCACAGCAGCAACAGAATCAAAGGACAGGGAGCGGAAGGTGCGTTTGACCATCATGCAGTTTGGGAAAGACATTTGTCAAGTGGATTCCTTAGCGGCCATCCCACATCGGGAACAATGTATATTTGTGTCGTTTTCTACGATTGCCAACAGCTTGCTTTATGTGCTACCTGCCATCAAGACATTTCACCAACAGTTTGGGGCTGTGTTGCCACAGCTGTAGGGTGGATGGATCTTGTGTGGTTCAAAGAGTCGTTGATAGTTTCCCTGTCTCAAGAATATCACAGCCTGCCAACTGAATGAATCGGGCCAGGTGTCCATGCTTGTTGAGCGTGCAGACAGTGGTAAAAGTCTGGCAGATTTCAGCATGCGTGATGTTGTAACTCAAGAGCTTAGGGTTCTCTGAGCTGGATCGCTGATCTTTTGACTCCATGCATCTTCAGGCCTTTGGAAGCTTCTCGAGATGTGGACGATTTGGAGTGTGTGCTGTGCTTGAAGTTGCTGTGTGAGCCAGTGACAACGCCCTGTGGCCATTCTTTCTGTTCCCAGTGCCTCCAGAGGTCATTGGACCACAGCAACAAATGCCCTTGTTGCCGAACGGTGAGCTTTCTGACCTGGTCCCAGGAATCAGATGCTGTCTTTCATGGTTGCACATGTGGCATTAATGTGACCTGAACCAATATTCCTTGCTATCCTCATGGAGCAACATATAGTCAAATGGCTTGCCACATCACTGGTTCAGTGTGTCTGGTATAGACTGCGCATCAGAATTGCGTGTTGTAGAACAAAAAGGCACTCAGGGCCATCAGTGTTTGTCACAAGTGGGGTATGGCAACCAGACAGGCGTTGATGACACAGTGTGCAGGGACAGAATTCTTTGTTATCGAATGGTGGCAATCTGCAAGGGTTGCAATCTTCCGTAGTATGAAAGTGGTTAAAATGATCAGAGCAAGCAGCTCTTTACTAAACAGTTTTGTACTGTTGACCACTTGTTGGTCCTGTCCTACTACTTTCTGGGAGATGTTTGAGTGAAGTGTTGTTGCAGCATTGCGAGATGTGGTGTGTGTTTGTCACGCAAGCTTGCAAACAAAATGATGTGTCTAGATCTTAGACAAAGCAGAGGAATGATGTGTGGCGTGCATGTATTCCGTTGCTGCAGGTGCTGCATCTCTCACAAGAGCTCGTCGTGTCAGTGACATTGAAAAACATCGTTCAGAAATCATTCCCTGAATTGTATGCTGAGAGGTTGAAGGAGATGGCAGGTGAATATCCAGACTGTAATATGTGCCAAGTGTGCAGGGTTGTGGTACTGTGCAAGTATTCTGTTGCAGATACTGACCAATGTGGCCGCACAACAGCTGGTTTCTTGCCTCTGGTGAACTGAATCTCTCCATCTCCCAATCTGATTGTTGATCTGGCGGTTCAATGTATAGAAATCCAGAAAATAAGCTTGGTATGCTGTAGGCCTTTTGAATGGTCTTCAAAAGACAAGGTGGTCCCCTTGCACACTGTGGGCGATGATAGGCATCTAAACACCCATGAACGTTGCATGTCCCACACGTGCATTCATTCTATCCGCTCACCACCCATGTGGTCAGATATGGATACTTGATGGATGCCAGATCCTGTTGCAGGAGCTGGTGGTGCAGTTCCCAACAACATCTTGTCTTTGTGGTTTGTGAATACATTGTGGAAACATGCATGCACCATTGTAGATATGCTGTTGAAGTGGCTGTTTGTGGGTCTTCTGCTGCAGACCCAAGCGCTGCATCCTCAAGTGGATCTGCCATCCTCCCCCTTTTCGTACTGACCACCCTGATGCCAGGTGATGCATGTAATGCTGCACTGCATGGGACATTTTCTCCGAACAATAACTCACACTGTTTCATGCATAATGTACTTGATAGCTTGCGCACAAGTTGCACAGTGCAGTTGGCTTTTGTTCAGTCTGCACTGCCACAGGCGATTTCTGCTGCTAGTTTTGAGTGGGAAGATGTGGTGCATCGTGTTAAGAGCTTGGCTGTGTTGCTGTCAATGTTGACAAGCTCCACAGTACACCTCCCCAGTACTGGCTTGGGCAATTCCATTGGCCACGGAAGCAATAGGCCCTGTGTCTGGTCAGACTCTGGCTGAAATGCTTTTACAGTACCGATGCCACAATCCCTCGCCAGAACCTGGCAAAAGCAAAAGACCAAAAGTATATTCCAGCGATCAGAAGGCCTCCATGCAAGGTAGTAGAGTCGGGTACAAAGGACGGAGGGTGCTTGCTTTCTTTCCTCTCATAAGCAGTGTTCTCTGTGCACTGTCACTTTGCCGTGATGCGTACATTTGTTCCTGTGCTGTATTGGTGACTGTAACTGTTGAACCACAGGTGAGAAGATGGCCCTGAACATTTTTGAGCCACGATACAGGCTCATGGTCCGGAGAGTCATGAGCGGCAGCCGGCGATTTGGGATGGTGGGGAAGAGCACAGACCCCAACGAAGTGGAGAGGGTGGCGTGTGAATGTGAAATCACGGAGTGTGAACCACTCCCAGATGGGTGCGTGGGTGGAAATGGCAGCCCCAACCCCAGATTGTGTGGGTTGCAGTAACCCCTCGTTATGCTCCCTTGAGTATGGCATCCATGGATGCAGCTGCCTCTGTCTGGGCATTAAAGGTGCAAGGGCTGTGGGTAGTCACTTTCCAACATTTCGTGTATTTGGGAATGGTGGCAGCTGTTGTGCCAGTTTTGCCCATGATGCTGCAGTGTTGGCAATGTTTGCTAGTGGTACACACTCCAGGTTCCAATCGTGGTCTGTCAATTGGTTGTCTTTGCAGGTGTAACCAAAATGCCTGAATAGATTAGCACAATGTCCTTGGAACACTAGAAGTTGGTGAACTACAAAGGCTTTATTGCTGGCGACGAATGCCGTTGCATTTCATGGCCTGGATGCCCGCAGGCACAAGTGCACTGTTGCATCTTCAACCGATAATTTTTCTTTGCCATTCTCCCAAACAGCATCATACACACAGCCAATACAGTTGAAGTGTGGCGTTGCCATGCCAAAGGGTTGACTTCATATTGTCAAATGAAAGATTTTCATTGCACAGTCTGCAGATGAAATCCTGAACCTGGGTTGTTTTGTGCCTGTCCTCCCAGTCGATACTACTTGGAGGTGATCGGTCGACGACGGATCCACATCAAGGAGCACTGGGAACAGGATGGTTACAGGGTGGGCAAGGTAGAGCAGATGCACGATGACACGCCTCTGGACGCGAGCCAAGTGGCCAAACTGGCGGGTGAGATCAAGGCCACCACTTCAAACTTCCTTTCGCTGCTTCGTACCATCTTGGCAAAGCGTGGGCCTCGCAACAGCGCCCTCCAACTGCTGGGCCGCGTCAGTGAGGAGCCCTCGGCGACTGATCCGGAAACGATCAGCTTCTGGGCAGTAAGTCACACTCGTGTTTGGGCTTTGTGGCCTTGCCAGTGGCGGCATTCCAAGCTGAACTCTTCTTGACTGTGTTTGTGCCATGGAAAAATGGGGCCCTTGCATCTGCAAGGCGTCGACAGGCACTTTAGACCTCGACAGCCACTGTCTGCAGAATTTGCTGGAAGCTATTGGATATGGTGTTCATGGTGTGTGGCGGTGTTGGGCCAGAGAACGGAAGTTGCCATCCAAAACTGCTATGTTCTGTGGGGCTGCAGTGCCCACGCAGCAATTACTCACCCCAGGCCACATTGCAAGATATTCGGGTACTTGCCGCCTCGTTTTGATTAATATGCTGACAAGTGCTGTGGTCGCAATGCATAGAGCATGAACTCCAGGGACCAGAGAATTCAGCACTCTGGGGAAACTATGAGAGTACTTTGTGTGGTTCTCCATGTTTGAGAACGCCTATTGTCGCATTCATCAAGAACACAAATTGCAAACAAGGCTTTGGCGCCCTGAAGACGATGAAGGCCAACACTCGCCTCGACTTTGTGGTGCCCTCCGGGGTAGTATCTCATCCGTCGCTGCTTGTTGCAGGGAGGTCTGCTGCCTGCTGCTGCTCCGCAGCGCAGCCGGCTGCTGCAGACAACATCCACCGAAGAGCGCCTCAATTGGATGCAGGCGCACTTGAAACAGTTGTGGGAGGCCAAAAACGACTGGGCGTGAAAAAGATACGAACTTCTGCATTTGCGATGTATACTGTGGTGCTTTTATTCTTCAAGAGAAGATAGCGTTCGAAAGGTGGCTAGCAGACAAGTAGCATGTGAATGTTTGGCTGCTTGCAGCTCTCTTAGGGTGTGCGTGATTGTGCCATGGCGAGTGATGGCTGGCATGGGCTTGTGGACTGACCTGCCAGAACAGCGCTAGAATACTAGTTGACATAATAATAGGGACGCCACTGTAGTAGTGATTTCCAGGGAGGAAAATCACCTCTGTTTTGGAACGTTTTCGGCCACTGTTAAGCTGATCTGTGCAAAAGCAATCTGTTTTTGCGGGTGGATATTGGTAAGATAACTCTCGATTCTTTGGGCGCCACATTCTTTTTGTGTATTGGCGAACTCCTGCTCGATTTAAATTTATGATTGATTCATGCTTCATCTGTGGCTCTTTGTGGGCACTCCCTTGCCCTCGCGTGCTAAAGAGGTGTGCGGGGAACCGGCTGTCCGTCCTGGCTTTCTGCTCAGACCTACGCCATGAACAAGTGGCCGAGGCATAGGATGCATATCCAGCATCAATCGCTGAGATCGATCTGCTACCCGATGTGTGTCGTGTGCACCAGAAATAGCAATGTGAACCCATTGGATTGCAGCGCGGGAAACAGTGCCGTAAAGTTGGAGATATCCGCTATGTCCAGATGTAGATCTGGCTAATATCTACATCTGGACATAGCGCATATCTCTTCCATCGCGACACTGTTTCCTGTGCTGCTCAGCAAATGGCGGAACTGCATATCTGCATGGTGCCTTGGAAGCAATCGATGCAAGGGGGAATTGTAGTGTGAGCTTGTCCTGCGTACCCACCCAATTGAGCAGACCGCCAGTGAGTGCTATAGCCCGCTGACAAGCGTTTCCACCTAACCGGTCTCCTGAACCCTCCCGATTATGTTTCCCACACGACAAGACATTACAACAAAGGTGTCCATCACCAACAACTCCACATACCCGAGGTCCCCATACTTAACAGTTTGCTCTTTCGCTTCGCCCATACTTCACTTCACTTTTCTCCCGTGACTTTACCCTGAGTCAGCCCCCGTACTTCCATCCACACCATCCCTTTCTCTCCTCAACCGAACTCCACTCTCTAGGGCGGGAAGGCTGGGTGTGAAACAAGATAGGAGGGGGACCGAGGGGGGAGCTGTTAAACTTTATCTGATGTTCCATCATGAGGGCTCTGGCCGTTTGCCCCAAGGCGACACAGGATCGACTCTATGATGGCGTCGGTTTCTGGTGCATTACTAAGGACAGCGCCCAGGGCCATCGCAGCCTGTGCCGGCACCCGGAGGTGCTGGCTTGGCACGCGCTTGAGCATTACGTTATGCTCCCCCTTTGACAGCTCTTTGATGGGTTGGCAGCATAGAGCCGCGGGGGCAAACCGCTGGAGCGTACCGCGGGGGCGAACCGCAAGTGTGAGTCCCGTCGGCGAGCTGCGGTGTGCGATGCGGTAGTGTGATGAAGTGTGTCAGGTGTCATTTTGCTATGATGGCGTCACTCTGCTATGCCGCGGGGCCGGCAGCACTGGTGTTGCGCCATCGTGATGGCGGAACCAGCGAATGAGGGTTGATAGGGTTACATCATACAAAAAGGTGTGATGGACTGTGATGAGGGCGTATCACTATGCTGCCACCCTTGGCAACGGGTGTGAAGGCCGTGGGGTGCTATGAGCGCCGTGAGAGAAGTGTGAAAAGAGGAATAGGGTGTAAAATACGTTGGTGGCTAGTGCTGTGAATAGGGCTCTAGAAAAGTGTGTATGGTTGAAGTTGGGTTTGGAATTCTAGCGGGTGTGATAGAGGTCAATGGGAAAAGTGGTGTTATATTCTGAAGTTCATAGGGAAATGGTAGTATGAGAGAATATACTCTCACTTGGATGATTTGGGGCGGTTGGGCTATAAAACTGGGCGCTCCACCCAGTTGGGCATTCAGTCGAGCGGCAGCCCTCCCAATCCTCTGAGTGGGCAAGGGCGGTGAGCATAGTGGAGCGATTGAATCGTTAAGACGCTGGATCAGTAGCTGGGAGGTTAACTGGACGTTCTAAGTATTCTGAGTGGATTGCAGAGTGGGTTGAAGTGCAGATCGTACTGGGCGGATTTACGGCTGTGCGGTTGTCAAAGTACAAGGTGATTTGAGGTGGTCTATTGTGGTGATTGGTGAACGGACAAACTCTTTTGTAAAGAGTGTGTGTTGAGAGTTGGTTGAAGTGCTTACCTTGTGTGTGTTTTGGTGATTCGAGTGTGTCAACGATTGTGTGTAAGGTCCAAATCGTTGATCGTTTTGTGTGGAATACGAGTAAGCGCGAAATTTCCAATCAAAGCAACGGGAGTTTCAATGGAGCGAAGATTAAGTTCAGCCTGTGATCTATGGGTCCTTCGGGGCGATCACTAAGGGGAAGGTACTTTAACAGAGCCTAAATAGCCGGCCCCACTCAGCCCCGCCAAAGCCCGCCAAGTCCAAGGGCGCCAAACTGACGGCACCTTAGAAACTACGTACTTTGACTGACCCAAGGGACTAGAAGGGCCAGAAACCCGTTTGAATACAACTGCGACCGACTTGAATCTCGGCACAGCCCACCCAACGCCGTCCTTGGTGGAAACACACTAACAAGATAGTGAATGGCATTTCCAACTCGCCTCCTCACAAAGACGATCGATATCACAGAGGTCCACGCTACGCCTTGCGCCATGTTTTTCAGCGCACATTCACCTCTCAAGGACATAGATCCAACAACAACAGTATCCCCGACATGCTCGCCTCCTCTGATGGATTTCGCCTCTCCCATATAAGGGCAAGATAACCGGGTAGTCAGCTCAGATGATGCATGCCGAAGATAGAGGTGCTCTTCCTATTTCAGACGCAAATCATACATGAGTTGAATGCACAAAGTTATACTGAGACAGTGACTCGCTGCTGGTCTTTCGAAAGTCAGGCTTGGAACCTTTGAAACGCAGAGTACATGTTTCTGTATCAGAAACATGCATGGCGTGCATTTTACTCCTCGGAAAAGAAAAGGTTCAATCATCCAATATCAGCACGTCCAATGCGTTGCTAGCATGTCAGCTGCCACATGTAGATCAGAGAATTCTTGCAACCCTCTCAGCTTGTCTTCGCCATTACCCCCTTGCAGCAAGTTTGATTTTGTGTCCGCACTGTCAATGCCATGTACTGACAGCTCTGACATCATGGAGCGTGGTGCACACATGCACTGGCGAAGCTGGCAACAAGAACAACGTCAAGATGACAGGATTGTCTCTGTTCCCAGTTTGAAATGCTGTGAACCGCAAATGTTCGATCGGATCTTATTTGATACGGTTTGAACACAGGCAAACTTGTGCAAAATGCGTTCAATTTTAGACCAGTGCAATGCTCGCGGCCAGCTCTCATGCTCAGACCAATAACAATGGATTGCTGATCTCAGAATAGTCAAAGTTCTATTTTTTTATTCGCCATTCAAAGTGCTCTGCTCACCTGAAATGTGCACATTGTGTCGCTTGCTCCATCTCCCCAAATGTCCCCATCCGCGTTGCATGTATTTGTCATCATTGTTGCCTGTGTAGCCGCCATCCATCTTGACAAATCTGTGAGGTCTATGCATTATTTTTGGTCGTACCTTGCTCTCACGATGTCATATTATCATTACACAGGCATTGAATGGACGGCCTGGCCTTTAAGGGACATCGTGGTTTGAGATCTACCCGCAATTCCACTGCCTCCAGCCCATTCCCATACCACCACCATGGGACAACTTTCCACTGGTGAAATAGTCAGAGGCAAATCAATTGGCACTAGAGGCAGGGGAAGCATGCAATGGGTGGCACAATTGTAAAGAAGGTGTGAGCAACATGCGAGTCAATCCCGGCAATGCCATGATGTTGTTGTGATGATGAGTATATTGTGGAGGCCCGACTGCCATAGTGCAAGCTTCGCTGTGGGTGCTCTTGGCACATGCACACAGTTTTTGAGGAACTTTGAGTAGCAAATTTTGGAATCACTTGGTACCATGGCTGGTGATTGAGTTAAGACTCTTGCAGCTTGTGCTCTATTAGCAACCTCCCAACGCATGTCTTCAGGTTGAGAGTAGCTTTCATAGGAGATCGTTTGATGACACAAACTGTTATTAGACAGTTGCCCTGGCGAGTCTACACAATTTCATTGATTCCTCACTGGTAGATGGCGAACCTTCATTGTTTTGGGAAAGAGCAAATTTATGAAATGGGCATGATGTTTGGGAAAGTTTCAGTTCATGATAATGATTACCTTATGAGTAATAATGCATGTTCGGCCTATATTCCAGAAGTTCAAAAGCGTTAACATAAAAGGCGATTCGAAATGGCTTCTAATGTGAATCAATTTAATTGGTTCATATTTTGGTATTCTAAATGGCAAGTGATTGTTTGGAAACTATCATAATAATAGCGTTTTGGTATAGATGTTTCGAAGATGATCTGGGTCTCATTACGTCAAACATTAGTTTCCAATAGTTTTAATCATTCGGGCTACTTATTGCATGACAACTTAGTTGGTATTGTTGAAAATCTCCATTCTTGCCAATCCATCTCTACCTTGGATTCCTTTTCCGTTGATCTCCTTCTTGTTCCTTGTTTTGTTTTGTGATGTTTGTTGGACTTTGTCGTTGCATGTAGTGGTTACTGAGGTGGCCAAGCAGGAGCTGGCCACGTATGGCATGGTGGGGTGGTGGCTAACATTCGTTATAGATGTGGGTGGCGACAAGCGCAAGGGCATAACTTATGCCCACTGGTTCTTCTGAACCTAGTGCTCCTTATGCCGCATAAGGGGCACTAGGTTTAGAAGAACCAGTGGGATTGCCAATTGGTCTAGGTGTTGTTGCCACATCTTGCACAACGTTGTCATGCATAGGCTCAACAACTGCAAAGACGTGCGTGCCCCCACCACCTAAGGTTGTAAGGTGGTGGCCATAGCTATCGAAAGGTATGT